GGGAAGCTTCCAATAAGGAGGGGGGAGTATTTTTCCAAACGGCTCTCAGAGGGACTCAGGGAAACAAGCATTTTGCCCAAAGTCAAGGGAGAGGATTTCACGGTTTAACGCTACTCATGACATAGAAAACGAAAGCAATGAAGCTCACAGCATTGAAGGGATCCTCCTCCAAAATTGCAGTTACCATCATTCGCGAGGGATTATTGACAAAATGTTCTCCGCTACCCCCTCCTTACTGGACGAGTGCCCAATTTTATGTTGTTTATGTGAACTGTCTTTTGAAAAATGAAAGTTCCAAGCAAGAACAATGGAAGATTGAAAAGGTCAATCAATGCAAAGCAGAAAGATGGGAGACATCACTGTTTGGGAAAGAAGGTAGTATTTCAGTTCTCCACAATTTGCAAGTGCGATTCATAGAGCGGGAAGCCATCTACACCTATTGCGGTATTGTCCTCGTAGCCATCAATCCCTACGCCGACTGTCCATACTTGTACGGTGAAGAAGTCATTCAGGTATCTCAAACAAATTTGTATTGCCCCCTGTGGCTACATCTTTTTCTGATTAAGATTCCTATCGGTCAAATTCTGCTGAATTGCTGCGTTTATCTTATTCTTTGTGTATATTTGCAGTTTTTTTTGTTTCAGGTCTACCGAGGTGTTGGAAAGCAAGTACGAGAATTGGATCCGCACATATACGCTGTGGCAGAGGAAGTCGGTCTTTTATGACGTTCATTAACATCATATCAAACCTGAAACATAGTTGTACTTTTTTTTTACAAATCATGCATGCGTTTTCAGGCATTCTTTGATTTGGCCGAATTCAAGAAATGTCAATCCATAATCGTTAGTGGCGAATCGGGAGCGGGAAAAACAGTGTCGGCGAAGTTTGTTATGAAGTATGTGACAGAATACATATGTACTTTTCTCACTTTCTCGAAATTCTGACGATCTCAAGATATTTTCAATACAAAACGGTTTTACGGTTATCTCTTACGGAACCGACGACAGAAAATTTTATTTATCCTTTACCCTCGTCCAGATACTTCGCATCTATTGCTGGCCATCGTGATGGTTCTGCTGGCGTCGAAGACAGGGTACTCGCGACAAACCCGATCATGGAGGCCATTGGTAATGCCAAGACGATCAGGCAAGTAATGTTCATCAATATTGAAATCGCATTTGATATTTCTCCACCTTCCATAACTACAGACTGAACAAGCTGAGCGCTCACTGTGCCACAAATGTCGAGCTTTCTGTTCTGGTAACGCCGGCTGTCAGACTTTGCAAATCGATCCACACGCTACTAGCGAATCGCTCGATTCGCAAAGTCTGACTCCTGCCTGATAGCTGAATATCTTACTGGAGACAATATTTGTCTGCACAAATCGATTACATTCCACGTTCCCATGTTATGCATCGTTCTTTCCCAGTTTCTCACTTTCTCAAAGGTTTCCAGGAATGACAACTCGTCTCGATTTGGCAAGTTCATCCAAATTAATTTTGATGACAAGTTTACGATATCTGGAGCGGAAATAAAAACCTACTTGCTCGAAAAAAGTCGGCTTGTTTTTCAGGTAAACTTATGACATTTAAGTTGTTTCCTTCTTCATCTCACACCTCAACTGTGTTAATAAGAAAAAAATTCAGGCGCGTCAGGAGCGAAACTACCACATTTTTTACCAGCTTTGTGCGGCTCGTGATCATCCACTGCTGCAGGATTTTGCTCTCGGTATGAGTTTGAAGAATCCTTTCAGATTAATATGAAGAATTTCCGTAAACAAGTGAATTTATTGAAGTGTTGCTTGACTTCATTTCATTGTTTTTTTCCTCAGGACCCAGTGACGTCTATTGGTACACTGCGCAAGGCGGAGATAGCAGAATTCCTGGTGTTAACGATAGGGAGGATTTTGAAGAAACCGTGAAGGTAGTAAAGAATTTTTCTCTTGTAATCGCTCCCTCTATGATTTTCCTGCTTAGGCTCTTGATTTGCTCGGCTTTGACAGCGAGAAGCAGAGATCCGTGTTTCGGATACTTAAAGGTATTCTGCTTCTTGGCAACATAGAATTCAGAGGCGAGGGAGACAGTTCCACAATCTCGGTACGCCAGCTTTTCTTCTTCCAAAATTTCTACATTCCATACCGTCATAAATAATGTTTTATAGCCGATGAACGCTGCTGAGATTTCGCAGCTATGTGCAGACTACAAAATCGACGAAGCGCAGCTGCGGCTCTGGCTCACTGTACGAGAGATCCGCGCGGCAGGAGAAACTGTCAGGAAAGGTCTTCAACCGCGTGAGGTAAGCATTCTTATAAGCAGCAAGCTGTGATTAAATCGCCTGCTACCACATCTATAATATTATCTGTGCTTCAGGCCTGCGCATTAAATATAGTCTTTCTTAAGTTTATAATTTTTTATTCCATAGTTACTGCATTCATTTGAAAACCTTTGCTCGAAAATCCGCTGCGCATTCGACTCCTCATGTATGCGTTTCAGGCTGTTCGATCGCGTGATGCCTTTGCTAAGTTACTCTATGCGCAGTTGTTCTCATGGTTCGTTCGTCACTTCAATGACACCCTTATGGAGAAGGAGAGGAAGATTTCGCGCTATAAGAGTTTTATAGGAGTGCTTGATATCTACGGGTAAGTTTTAATCCTTTTCGATTGCGTCCGAATTCTTTTCCTCTCACCAATTCCCCCTTTCTACTATGCATACCAGTACGTTTTACCTACAGTCGGATATTGCGTCGTGGTTAGGTTAGCGCTGATGCCATCGGCTGTCCACAGTTGTGGGTTTCACCTTTTGCAAATGATGGTGTGACATTTTCGACGATATCCTACTATATAGTGTAAAATTTTGAGTAGTAACGGTAATAACTCGTGGTGTTACGAACTTGATTCCTAAGCTGGGTTCAACCAGATGTCAGCGAATGTGCAGGCTTGTCTAAACTCACTCCTTCTCGCACGTTTCTTTTGCTGATAAGCGTTGGGATCGTTCTGTTAAC